TTTTTTTTTTTTTTTTTAAGGAATTTTTCCCTACCCCAAGGTCATGGAGGTACTTTGATTACTTTTACAAAACTTTTTGTTTCACTTTTCACTTAAATTTAGTAAGAGATTCACTTGGTTTATATGGTCCAGATTAAAATTTATGTCCCTTACTTGGATGTTACTTATAATTTAAATTCATGTGGAATTATACAATGCTCTTAAAATTTTGGATTCGTTATGTTTGATGTGGTATATAATTAGGGTGACCGTATGGCTTGTTTTGCCCTGATGGAAGGTCCTTGTTTGTGCCTGTTGTTCTGGCATGATTATTAAAGTATCCCTTTATTTTCTTGAAAATGTTCCAGTTTGGGTAATAAATTGTATGGTCACACTAAATATAATCAAAAGCCCAATCCCAGAGATCATAACTAAGTGAGTGATGTCCTTTATTTTCTACTAGAGATTTCACAGATTAGCTCTAGTTCCGTGAAGGTAAAATAGAAGTAAGTTTGATGGGCTTTGATACACAGGATCTTCTGTATGAATGTCAAGAAGTCATAAAGGCAACCTTGATGTCAGTTTCCTAAGTATGCTAATAGATCATCTGTCTGTAGTTTGTCTCTTGGAGTCTTTGTCACATCTCTGAGTTTTTCTTCCTAACACTGATTATGATCTGCACGTAATCTGCTTTGCTTTATTTGCATGTGTTTATTGTCACCTTTCCTCCCCACCATAGTCTGAGCTCCTGGAAGAACGAATGTTTATTTAATGAATAAGTGAAAATGATTTAGCATTTTTGTTTATTAATCTTGTACAGGTTTCTTGGGGTATCTCCAAATAATGCTTTCCATGTTCACAATTGTATATCTCCCTAAACTTAAAATGCCTAAGATATGTTGTCATCCCCCGCCCCCCCCCCCAACAGTGAGAGATTTTGGAGAATAGGGATACAAGAGGATAAAAAAAATCTTATAACACAATTGACACTGTTAGGAAGACAGAGTTTTACCTTATGACTCAGCTCAATTATAATTTTCATTTAAAATTTAAGGGAAGAATTAGTTCAAGATGTTTGAGAGAATTACAAAGTGGTGGCATGTTTTCAATTTACTGTATATTCACACCTGTGTCTTGTGAACATGATGCTCAAGCACATACTAGATCCTGGATGCCAAGAGATTGCCCACATTATGGAAGTTTCGTGAATGCAGGATTTTTGTCTCCTTCACTGCTGTATCCTCAGTGCCTAGAACAGTGCCTGGCACATAGCACGCCCTTGGTAAATAATTGAATAAATGAAAGGATACTTGTAGTTACTGAAGGTTTCTAATTATGGGAATTTCAAAGTTGGAGAAAGTACACATTTACTATAAGCATCATATATGTAGACTTTTACACTATTTAAATAAAATGGGCTAAAATAAGTAAAGTTCTTTTTTGTTTATTTTTGAGAGGGAGTGCGGAGGAGGGTTAGAGAGAGGGGGAGGGAAAGAGTACCAGATAGGCTCCAGCGCAGATTGCTTAGTGAGCTTGATCCCTGGAACTGTGAGATCAAGACCCCAGCTGAAATCAAGAGTTAGACATTTAACCGACTAAGCCACCCAGGTGCCCCTAAAAAGAGCAAAATTCTTATCTAACATATTAAGTCAGCCATACCTGGATAATACACTACTCTAATGAAAACCAGGTTGCTGCTGCATTAGGAAAAGAGACTTTGTAAAGAAGAATGATTATAAGCCAGCTGCTTTTATTGATTAAAAAAATTTTTTTTAATGTTTATTTTTGAGAGAGAGAAAGAGAGAGACAGTGCGAGCAGGGGAGGGGCAGGGAGAGAGGGAGACACAGAATGGGAAGCAGGCTCCAGGCTCTGAGCTGTTAGCACAGAGCCCCACCCAGGACTCG